TGTCAAAGAGTCTGTTGTATCACATATTATCAGGGATTTATGAGGGCTATTCATGAAGAGCAAATAACGAAATGACAGAACCCAAAATAGTTCTTTCCTAGGGAGGTAATTAATTTTTCAGCTTAACATAGGCCTGGATGCCTTTCCGCTCTTTATCCAGTTATCTGCTGGACGCAAGTGCATGTTTTGACAGAGAAGCAAGCACCGTGGCACAAGTCATATCATTTACAGTTTCCGCAGTTTGTCTAAGCTTTAAAAAGCAAAAACAAAGAAAAAAGAATCTGGTCTCATAAACGTAAAAAAGAAACAAGTTAGCCCAAGCTTAAAAAAATAGCACAGTTTATCATGAAGCCTCTACATTTGGCACTGAAGCACTCATGTCCAAAAATAATAACAGCTTATCAAGTCGTAAAAGTGAGACTCAGGTGGTACAAGATTGACTCAAATGATAAATGGTGAATAGTTTAACTGCTGAGGGTCACCCTTCAAGGTGGGTAACCCGGTCTGCCACACCAGGTAACCCTCTCAGCTGAGGTCAAATTTTGCCATGTCAGCGTTTCAAGGTGAGGTAACCCAGGCTAGTCGGGGTCGGATTCGTGATACATCAAATTCGCGCAAAATTCACTTTGGCGCTGGGTGGCTTCACATAATTATTAAAGGTAACAATATAAAGCCACAACACTGAAGGTTGCAGCAAGAGCAGCAATTGACCGTAAACGTGGTTTGCCAGCATTTTTCTTGTTTACGTGCTTAGCGACCATTCAATAATCTTGAGAAACTGCACCCCAGGATGGCGGGGTTGTAAGATTGCATGTAAAGGAGAGTCATTTTTATACCCCACCTAAGCAGGTGACCTCACCTACCTGGGGTCCCCACCTTTATATTAACGGGCCCTAAGTCGCAGGAACCGTAAAACTGGTAATAAATGGTATACCTAACCCGGGACTAGCTGTGATACTACTTCCATCTTCAAAAACGTCAGCATAGCAGCCAAAGGAGCCATTATATCGGTGCAACACGAATATTAGATTGCGGTTGTTTCATGCGTCTCGTTTTGTGACTTTTTTGTGTTCGTTTTTGTCACCATCTCTAAATATCAATCATGTTCAAAACACCCCTACCAACAAAATATTTCGTAAAGCTCTTTAGAATGATATTCAGCAATAAAAACAAGGTGTGACCAGGAGCCGATTTCTAGGCCCCTGGTGTAGCAACATAGGCATAAGTGAATGCAAAGTTTTGCAGTATGTAATCTGTCAAAAATCTGTTTGAGTAGTCACAGTTGGGGCTGATGGGCTTCTTTAATTTATCATGACCACTCCATTATTATAAGGGACCAGGCCATAATTATTGTTGACCCTTGCTTTTTTTGGTATTTTATGTAATTTTCCACAGCATTATTTTGTGAAAAGTTGGTAACTGAATTGCTCTTGAGGAATTCATGATCGTAAGATTTCGTAACCATTGGGTATTCGCCTAATCGCATCAAACAAATTACATTCATTTTCATAAATGATGCATCATTGGTTGGCTAAAAGAGGTCTTGTTCCTGTAAATTTCAGCTCTTTAACGCACGCGACGACCTTCCTTTTTTTTGAAAAATCGTAGAGACCTACCAGTAACACTCTGGTCCAAGGGCTCTGACGTGAATGAGCCGCTAACAGGTGTCTAGGCATGCAGGGACCTCATACACTTCTTTTTAAATGCAAATGTGCAAAAAAATAAAGAGTGTTAAAAATTCCTGGAGAGGCATGTTTTACAACCTCTTCCCCAGGGCTTAATAAAAAGGTAGAAAAAGGTAAAGCGACCATATTTTACGTCAATAACTCGTGACACTAATAATAACCGATAAACTTGAGGTGGACGGTGCGCTCCTTTTACCCCCCCATTAATTCTCCGTTTTAAGGGTATTTAAAGGTAGTCAAAGCTACATTGAAAATAGAGAAGTTGAAATAAGGAGGTGCTGACACCGGGCTCGAACTCGGGACCTCTTACCCCGAAGGCTGCGCACTAACCAAATTGTGCCACACTTGCTCCTCCTTTTCCCCCTGAGGACGAGGTTGACATCTTTTAATCATTATCTCAAGGACAGGGTTACCAACGAAGCAAATTATAATCTAATCTTAGCTGCACAATTACAAAGTGGGCGCGTTGTCAGTTACGGTTCATGAGGTCGTTCATGTGGCATGTCAAACTTTAACGATTCTATCGTTTAGGATTTGATACATTTGAGTTTTATGTTTGAAAGCCGGCTTTGTGATCTGTTTAAATTGATATGTAATGATATTATCACTTGCAAGTCTTAGCAGTGACACTGATAGCCGCACAGTCCGCACAGTGAACATGGCCACACTTACCGTGGGGAGACTGGGCACTAGTCAGTATTATACACATGTAAAACTATTTTGAATAGTGTAACAACAACTAAACATTACCAAATTAAAAACTTAAAAATTTGAAACAAATGTTTTTTAGCCAAATCAAACAAGAAGAGTACTCACCACAGGGCACCCAATCTGCTATTATAGGTGAAAGTTAACCCCCCCTTTATCTGTAATTAGGACCATTTGTAACGGGCATCCCCTCCAGTATTAATCCGTAGGTGCTAAGGAAGCTGTGTGCCAAATTTGACACTTTTGTCACGTCTGTAACGATCTGGCCTATATTTTGCACTAAGAGACCTGACTAATAGGGCATGTTTACATTTCAGCATGAGTCAGCGGATTTGCATCAGTTACTGAAATCATAAAATATGTCGAAAAGCTACTTCGCCTGTTCAGTATTTTCTAGAACCTTATGTCAAACGGTACACAAGTTCCAAGCGAGTTCTTTTGACGAACCAAGTTTTTTCCCACGAGCTGGAGTGCTGTGTTTAGTCAAGTGTGACGATGGTCGATTTTCAGGTTCTGTGTTTACAAGTTCGCGGAAGCCGTAAGATATCTGAAGTTCAAGTGAGAGTTTGTAATTATTGGTAGAGGCTGTTTAGTTTTACTCAAAGTTCAAGTCAAGTTTGTGTTGGTGGATGCTGTGTTTTAAAGCTCTGTAAAGGCTATGTTCCTTTGGTGTTAAACTTCCTTGTGTTAATCCGACATCCCTGCGTGCTGATAGTCAGTGAATAATT